TCATGGTCAAAGGCTACATACCAATACCCACGTGATGCTTAGTCATTCACTTTGTGGTCAAAGGTATAGCTCATTATAATAATAATACAGGAAAGCACATTGCACATATAACACATAACATACAATTGTCCCTATATCGAACTCATCGTGAAATATTCAATTGATAAAATGATAATTTGGCCAGCACTGCATCTCTAAAATGAATTTCTGTGATGAAACCGAGGATTTTTGTTGAAAATCGGTCCTTGCACGGGCAGAGTTTCAACTTAAAAATATTATTTTCTCAGGTCTTCAGTGCGTCGGAACTTGCTTCGACTGTCAGGGATGTTTCCTAGGCTTTTGGGGGGGGGGGGGGGGGGGGGAATAGGCTAGAAATTGATTAAAGAGTGAAAGATATTTCAAAAATGTAAACTAAACTCGGAGACCTCGCAACCCTATTTATGGTATATGGTTCCAGATCTAGACCTCTCTAGGTCCCCAATAACATAAAGTTGCTCACTTTATATAGTCTAGCCCCTTTCCATGCACAAAAACCTTGTAAGAAGCCTAGTTTAGATGTTAGGGACTTGCATGCACGTAAAGTTTGCAACTTTACATGGTATCTACAATATGGGAGGTTAGATCTGAAGTTTGGGACCTTAGATCCCACTAGAAAAGGTTGAACATGGAAAGGACTGACGGAACTCGTCGAGTCCCTTAGTTGACTTGACAAGTCGGGGTGGGGTTTGCCCGTTGTAACGTCCATAAAAATTCCAACCAATTTAAACTTTTCAAAAACAGCCCAATTTCATAAAGTTATTACAAAAAGGTTTTCAATACATTTATTATCATAGTATTTCCCAGAACTACATCATAAACACATAAATCATGAGGAGTGGTACGATCACGCCTTTACCTTGCCACGGTCTCCTGAAGTACCTGAAACATTTAAACCACAACTGTAAGCCCAAAAGCTTAGTGAGATACCCCCAAAATACCAACCACATATACCATACACATAAAATGCCATATCATAACAGAACATAGAACAGCCATGAACTTCAGGTCTACTGTGTGACTGGTCCTCCGCACCGGGCCTTTAGTCCACCTGGTCCACCCTCCGAGTCTAGCCATATACATCGAGTCTATAGTGTGATTGGTCTGCCCGCACTGGGCCTTCAATCCACCTGGTCCACTCTCTGAGTCTACAGTAGGACTGGTCCGCCCGTATCGGGCCTTCAGTCGGCCTGGTCCACTCTCTGAGCCTCCGCACGTCTGGTATGCCCTCATGGGGCCTACAGCCTATCCGGACCGCTCGCTGGGCCTTCGGAATATCTGATCCGCCCTAGGTATGTTGGCTTACAACACAAAGCAGGACCCGCCTCAACCAACCCCAGTCAACCAACCATGTGCACATAAACATATAACCACATAACAATTAATCATCAATCAACCGATCTAGCAAATCACATTCATAGCATACTCTAAACAGGATACCGACTTACCCGGTCACTAATATAGCATCATCCTATGTACCAAGATACCGACCTTAACCAGGTCTCTAACATATACAATCCTAACTACCAGGATGCAAACATAGCAAAACAATAACATAACAACAATACCCGGATTACAATCCGATAAAGGGCCGGCCTTGGTGCCTTAGACCCTGTCGATATAGTGATGATAACTCACCTCGCAACTGCCGAAACTCTGAACTGAAGAAGCAGATTCCCGAATCACCGACTCACCGAAAATCCCGAACTAGCCAAAATAGCAGAAATAACCATTAGATCAATCACAATATCCTTCCAAGGGTAAATTGACCAATTTACCCTTAAATCAATCTGGTCCAAGAATAAGGCCCATAATCAATATGAAAGGCCCAACACTAGGTAAGCTCTCAAGCCCACTAATGGCCCATTAATGGCCTAATTTGCTATATTGGGCCCATTCTCCTAATTGGGCCTTACCCTAAGCCCAACACCCATACTTGGACCATCTTCCCTGACTCCTAATGGCCCACTAAGGCCCAAAGACCCAAAGTCTAAGGTGCAGCCCACACCGAGGCCTAAATACTCAAGGCCCAACTGGCAGCGTTACGTGGGGTGTAACTCAACATACACTTAGCGTACCAGCTCCTTGACAAGTACGCTGGGTGTACCTGCACGTACGCTCAGCGTAGTGCTCTGTTAAGTCATTTCCTCATTAAGTGCTTACTACTCCATTTCAAGGGCTACAAACTCATATCCAAGTCTTATTTCACGACTTAAACCATAAAGTCACTGACTTGGTGACTTAATATGGCTCAAACCAACTCAAACTTCCAAAATGATCTTCTACATCCAAGAATAGGACTAGATCTCATGCGTGGGCTTAATAGAACCCCAAAGGTTGGAACTTTACTGCTTATGGGACTCATATGACTCTAAGGGAGGCAACCCTGGTCTTAGAAACGAGCTTAACCCACCAAGACCCAAACTTGGGACCCAAAAGGGCCATAAACTTATACTAGAGGATATCTAAGAGATTAATCATCAAGCTCAAGACCTTTTACCTTGCAGAGGTCCGAAATGAAGCACTTATCCCAGATCTACAAGCTCTAGCTTCAAAGGTTCCTCCTTGCCAACCTTCTTCTTTTTGTTTCCAAGCTTTAATCCACCAAAATGGGGTTCTCCAAGGTCAAACACACCCAACAATGGAGGTGGGATGGCTATCTAGGGTTTCTGAGGATAAGAGAGTGTTTATAGAGGCTAGGGTTGGAATCATAATGTTCCTTTTATAGTTCTTAACCAAAAAAGTAGGGTTTCGAGACTCTGAGCGTACGTTGGGCGTACGCCTTGAACATCCGCGACCAACTTGCCCCATTACGCTAGGCGTAACCCAGCTTATGCTGGGCGTACCCACGCGCGCCCCTACATGCTTGCATGGTCTTCCATGCAAAATTTTTCTATAAGGGCCATTCTTACCAAATCTTCAAAGTGTCGTAACTCCTTCATTCTAGATCCGATTTTGATGAACTTTATATCCATGGAAAGGTGGCGAGAAGATCTTCGCTTCTAGCAGCACACCCTGATCCGAAACCTCCCCGAATAATAACCTATCGCTCATGAAAAAACGAAATGCCCTTACTCTTGATCTCGGAAACCCATCAATAAATATTTTAAGAACGGGGTGTTACACCCGTTTTTAAGTTTCGATTGAGTACGGTGAAGGATTATGGTTTTGATCGAAATGAACTTTAGGTTTTCTGGACAACTGATGAACTCGATGAGTCACTAAGGTGACTCAACGAGTTGACTCGGGATTCAGTGGAATGAACTCGAGAGGAACTCAACGAGTTGCTGGATGCATTCGGCGAGTTGAGGTCAACATGGACTATTGACCTTGACTTTGACCAGGGTTGACTTTGAGGGTATTGATGGGATCATGACAAATTAATCACATGATGACTACAGGCAGTTGATGAGGAGCAATGTGTGGGATAAATCCGATCTAGCTTGTCAGTTCAGCATCCGAGAGGTGAGTCTTCTCACCATACCAATAGGTCGAAGGCACTAAGGCCGACCCATTTTGTGATATGTGGCATACTTGTTGATTGTAGAGATACGTGTTATGATAGTTAGTTATGCTAGTGTTTTGCTACCTATAAATGTGTTACTTGCAGGGAAGACCATGGGAGAAACCCATGACACTTGGATGTAAGACCATGTGGGGGAGCCCATGACTTTTCAAGTAAAGACAATGGGGGAGCCCATGATACCTGGATGTAAGACTATGTGGGGGAACCCATGGCTTTCCAGTTAAAGACCATGGGAGGAGCCCATGACACTTAGGTGTAAGACCATGTGGGGGAGCCCATGACATCCTGGAGTAAGACCTTAGGAGGAGCCCACGACATCCTTATTTGTATGTATGGCTTATATGATATGTGTAGCTTTTATGGCAAATATGATATGTGTTATGTGGATTTTATATGTGTATGATATGTGTAGCTTTTATGGCTAATATGATATGTGTTATGTGGATTTTATGTGCGGTATGCTCTGGGGAACTCACTAAGCATTAACTTACCGTTTGTGTATTTGTTTCAGGTACATCTGAGCTCAAAGGCAAGGGCAAAGCTTAATAGCGCGGTGTTCACTCTCTCATGTGTTTTCTATGGGACACTCTAATGATTTGAAATAAAATTGTACTTAATATGAACTTTGAAAACAATTGTATTTGAGATTTCATGGTTTGTAGACAGTATTTTGGTTAATCAAAAACGAAAAATTTCTTTTGAAAATTGGGTCGTTACATTGAGAGTGGTAGGTTGTTTAATTGGTTTCACTAACCCATTAAGTTCTCTCCCTCTACTTTCTCTCGCTCATTTTCTCTTATACCATGTGTTTTAAGACTTGTACCTTAGTTATTTTGTATTTTTTTTAATTAAGTGGGTTGAAAAAGATATGATTTCCATGTATTGTGGGTTGGAAAAGATGAATAAAAAAAGACAAAAACTGATATGACAGTGTGTTAAGTGAGTAGGGAGGGAATGACTCCCTCCTCACATACAAGTTCAACAAATTTCATCACCAGCATTATAGCATTATGCTCGTAAGGCCATAGGATGTACACCTTATGGTGGGCTGAGATGTCAGGTGAGACTGTGAGAGCTATAGGAAACACCATATCTCGGGTGTGCAGATGTGTAGTAAATCGGTAAATCCCATGCATGAATTGATTCCACTACATTTCTCTTTATCTCCATGTTTCATATTATCATACAATACACATAATGATGTATATTTTGAGGGGGAGTAATATCTAATGTCGTCAACCTCCACTTTTAAAAGGTGAACTCCACTTTTAAAAGGTGAACGATGTTGTAAGAAAAAAAAATGATAACCCACATTCCTTAACCTAATGCCATGCTCCAATTTCATTCGTCATCACTGGACCACAAGCCAACATCCCATTAACAATCGGGCTATAAAAGAAAATTTTAAGATATATTCATGGTATTTGAAATTATAATAATTAATTATTAAAGTATTACACAATAAAGCATTAAATATCAAATTTCAAAGGGGTCAATTTCAAATTATTTGAGGTTATAATAATTAATTTTCTAAGTATTAGATAATGAAAAATTAAATAATCTAAGTATAGCCGCTTCAGCCTTTCAGCGTTTACTAGTACGAGAGGACGAGGTTTTTAACACTCTTACGCAAATTCCTCAAATATAAATTCACCAATTTGCCTTATTTAGTCAAAGCGCGTTCAATCCCCTTCTATATATAATCTCTCTCGAATCTCGATTACCCCAAGTTATCATCCTAGAATGGCGACTCATGGCATCCATGGCAATCTTCTCGAAGTCACTGGTACGTACACGATCGTTGAATTCACATGTGGTTAACTGTTTATGTAGAAATATATTAATCATTCTACAAAAACGAGTCGTGATTTTGGGTGAAATTTTCTGCAAGTTGTTTGTCGGTTGCTTTATAACTTCTTAGCACTAAATTTTCCGATGCTTTTGTTTTTCTATGGTTTTAATTTGTTAGGTTTAAGATCTAATTTAGTTGTTTGGACTTTTTCAGTTGTTAGCTGCAATAAATTGAAAGATACGGAGTGGATTTCCAGGCAAGATCCTTACGTTTGTGTTGAATACGGAAGCAACAGATCTCGGACACGTACCTGTACAGGTCGCCTCTCCGATCCTTTTTCTGTTTGTGAATTGATGTTTGAAGATCTGTGTTCTAATTTTCGATTATTGAATTGTTACAGATGGAGGCAAGAACCCTACGTTCCAAGAGAAATTCGTGTACACACTAATTGAAGGATTAAGAGAGTTGAATGTTAATGTTTGGAATAGCAATACAGTCAAACACGACGACTTTATTGGCAGCGGAAAGTAATTAATTCCTCTTTTTCATCCTGATCTGCATTCATGAATTACATTCCCACTGTATTACCTTTTCTTTCTTCTCAATTAACCGATGTATTGTTGCTGTTATTTCCAGAGTTCAATTGGCGAAAGCTCTTTCACAGGGATTTGATGATAGCACTTGGCCATTGCAATCCAAAACTGGCAGGTTTGTCATGTTCTTAGTTCTACTTGTGAAGATTTAATTTAGTGATATGTATTCAGCTTTCTAATCCTCAATTTTTGTCATGTAGACATGCTGGAGAGGTTCGATTGATAATACATTACTCAAATGCCAATGTAAGTTCCATTTTTACCTTTCAACAATAAATGTTGTGATAAAAATAAAAATAAAAAACTATAATTTTTGTTCTTTAATTTACAGAAACCAGCAAACAGTCATGCTTCAGGAGCTCCACAATATGGTCAACCACAGCCATCACTATACTCTGCACCACCACCACATCAGCCATCAGTATCATATCCACCACCTGCTTCCGCCGGATACCCATATCCACCAGCCGGAGGTGTTGGTGTTGGTGGTTACCCTGCACCATCGCCCTACTCCTCATACCCACCTAATGCCGCCTATCCACCCTCTCCATACCCACCTCAGGCAGCAGCTCCTTATGCAGCACAACCATATCCACCAAATTCAGCTTACCCTCCTCAACCTTATGGATCATTTTATCCACCTGGTAAGTCAATAATAGTATAAAAAATTTTAATTAAAAATTAAAAAAAAAAAAATTAATAAAGTACATTCCTACTAAATCAGTAATTTTTTTTTTCTGTGATTAGCTCCTCCTTACCCAGGTCAACATCCTCCACCTTATTGAGAGAGAGTTCCTACTTCCTATCACCCATCAAGTAATCATGTAATGAAAATGTCTATAAACTTTGCTAGATGTGATATTGTGATCCAAACTGTAAATCTTTTATTATAGTGGCTTTGATCATTTTCGTATTATTTTAGAGTTTAAGTATCGAATTATGTTTTAAATATGGTGTAGTGTTTTTTTTTTCTTTTAAAATCTTTGTTTGATAATGATAAATATTCTTTTATTGGTTGTTTGTTAAGTGTTTGTATTATAAAGTTTGTCAAGTTGTGGCTTTTGAAAGCGTAATGTTTGTTTGAGTAATTTTTAGAAATGATGATACATTATAAAGGTGTTTGCTTTTAAGACTAGTGATAATTCAAAAATTCTAAACAATGATGGATATTTTTAAAGTCCGTGGTTTAGGAGGATTTTATGAGTTTTTAAAGTTGAAATTTTCAATTATTTTTTTGATTATATATTTGATGTTGGAAGACAGAGAGGCTTTTTGGAAGATTCTTTTTTATTTATTAATATTAGAATGAGTAATATAATTACCGAATATGCTTCCCTTTGATCATAATCTAACTTCAATTTCACTTGAAGAATGCATAAATTATTAACTATTGACGACGGTGAGTCTAACCATTGTCCTCAAAATCACAGCCGTCTAAACTCCACGTTCTTTCAATCTCGTCCGCATTACCTCGATTTTGGCGGTTGTTTGCGGTTCCAACAATCGGTTTCGACGACCCTCCTTCTTCTCCCCACGTTTTACAACGGGTGATTAACCTGCAATTTTCCCCCTTCTCCCCCCATGTTCTCTTCCATGGTTCTTTCGTATCCCCTTATCTATCCAAACTCTACATATAAATAGAGAGGATATTGAGGCGTAACGTTGTTTATTGCTCAAGCGAATGAGACTCCGGCAAGGGTGATGAGGCTCTGTGATAGCAACTCCTCTTGTGATTTGATCCTTTGATCAAAGTATAAGCCGATGATTTCGATGCCGATTCACCACCAACTACTCTCTCTCTCTCTCTCTCTCTCTATGAGGGCATTCGTGTAATTTTGTTGTTGTTGATGTTGATTTGTACTTCAGCTTGACGAGGCGATGATGATGAAATGTAGCCCGGGCAAAATTGGAGTTTGGAGACCTGAGTTGTATCTTGGCTGGGCAATCCGGAAGGCATTTTTTTGTCTTTGGAGTTTTCTCTCTCTAAGTTGACATGCATTGCAACTGCGATTGCAGCCATGATGGATTTAGGCAAAACAAACTCCATTACAACAGATTTGAGCCTCCGTTTTTGTTTTTGTTTTTGTTTTTTTTTTTTAATTTTTCATAAGTAAGCATGCCAACTGTTTGTATTACTGCCTCTATGTTTCTTTTGGTTAATCTGAAAAGTTAATTGTTTATTAATAATCTAAGTCATGTACACATGCACTGCTACAGATTTTGCCTTCAATCCTTTGTAATAACTCTAGAAGTACCATGAGATTTGTGTATAAATGGACATGTATAACTTGCATCAAATAAAATGTTTATATTGGGCAGTTTAGGTTACATGTAATGGGGGCACTTTTGTATATGTTATAAAGGCCAGAAGCTCTCCCATTCAATGTCTAATATCTTCTTGATTAAAGGTTCGTCTGGATTTTAATGTAAAACGCAAACTTCTATAGTAGAAGAAATTGATGTAGTGAGGTTGTGTTTTTAGAAAAAACCGACGTTGCAGATATAGTGTTCTAATTAAGAGAAATGTTTGATTGTGCTTTCAGTTTTCTATAATTTTTAATGTTATTGTTTTTGATTTTAGGTTCTTTTATTGTTCTCTGATTATTTAAGAAACATATTTACCCCCCCCCCCCATCCCCACCCATCCATTTGTATTGAAATGTTTTTCGTGTTGTTGTATTGTTGTATCTTGTCTGGCCCACACTTTCAATCATATTTTGAACCCATTAAAATGCTTAATAGCTTAAGCACTTAGTTATGAATTTTGTTTGTTGGAAATAATAGCATTGTACTTATTTTCAATAAAAATTATGTTACTTATTCTTATTTAAACGTTGTACTTTCAAATATAGCATCATACTTTAATATTTAATTCATATATATATATATATATATATATATATATATATATATATATATATATATATATATATATATATATGTTTTTTTCTTATTAAACCATTGTACTTTCAAAGTGTTAAATAAGAAAATAAAACAAAAAATTAAAAAAATGAAGATTTAGAAATGAATGTTAAATATATTATTAGACAAACAAAAAAAGTAGATTTTACAAATCACCATTTAAAATTATAACAGATTCCTAATTCGTTTTAATGATTTTGGATCATTTTACCCCTCATACATCATTTATGATTTTGGATCATTTTACCCCTCCTCCCCACATTTTTATTGAAATGCTTATCTGTTGCCAAAGAAAATATGAATAAGAAAAATAATATAATTTCTTTTTTGAAAATATGATGCTATATTTGAAAGTACAATGCTTAAATAGTTAATTGTTTTACCTTAGTAAAGATATAATGAAATTAAACTTACAAAAAAACTTAAATTTCTATAACAGAATAAGGATTTCCTTAAATTATGATCCCTCTTAGGCGTTTTATCATACACCTGTAAGACATAGTCAAACATCCAACTTGAAAATATCATCAAAGCATCAAAAACCCCAAAGACTAAATTTATCTCAAAGAAATTGAACCAAAATCAAATAATCGAGTAAGGAATTTAAAACAGATGCAGATTCAGATTCATTACCTTAACCAACAACCTGTAAAAAGCAAAATATATGTATTACTTTTTTACAATTATAACAAATTACTAAAATGATTTTGGACCATTTTACCCCCGCTGCATCATTTTTTATTTTGGACCATTTTACCCCCCCCCCCCCCCCCCCTCCATTTATATTGAAATGTTTTCGTGTTGTTGTATCTTGTCTGATCCACACTTTTAATCAGATTTTGAACCCATTAAAATGCTTAATAGATTAAGCACTTAGTCATGAAAGTTGTTTGTTGGAAATAATAGCATTGTACTTATTTTCAATAAAAATTATGTTACTTTTTCTTATTTAAGCATTGTACTTTTAAATATAGCATCATACTTTAATTTTTAATTCATATTTAAAAAATATATATGTTTTTTTCTTATTAAACCATTGTACTTTCAAAGTACAATGGTTAAATAAGAAAATAAAACAACAAATTAAAAAAATGAAGATTTAGAAATGAATGTTAAATATATTATTAGACAAACAAAAAAAAGTAGATTTTGTAAATCACCATTTAAAATTATAACAAATTCCTAATTCGTTTTAATGATTTTCGACCATTTTACCCCTTCTCTCACCATTTTTATTGAAATGCTTATCTGTTGCCAAAGAAAATATGAATAAGAAGAAAACATAATTTTTTTTGAAAATATGAAGCTATATTTGAAAGTACAATGCTTAAATAGTTAATTGTTTTACCTTTATTTAAAATACAGATGTGATACATTGATTTTTAAAGTACTTGCATATCTAATAAAAGTAGCTTTACAGGTTTTGTTATCAAAACTCGTGTTTTCATTGGCACTAATTTGTTCACTCCTACATGCTAATCATTTTTTTTTTTTTAATTATTTATAATATTTGAGTGTAGAATTATTGTTGAACTTACAATTCCATGTGAGAAACCAGGTTCACGAGTGTTTGAAGGATTCACAATGGGTTTTCATCCAAGATCATGAGAAATTATTAGAATTTATATTATATTTTATAAATCATGATTAATTTGAAGTTATGTAGTGAGAATTTATATTATATTACAGGTGAGGAGACGTACTTCCATTTTTTGGTTCTTTAAATTAAAGTTTTGTTAGAAAAGTACTATTTTACCCTTTGTCTACTTTATTGCGGCTTTGATACAGACCAGAGTGATATATCACTATATATGACAGCAATTGCATCCCTTTCACATTAAGTAAAAAAACTATCCATAAAGGTATATACTTATATCTACCCACTTACTTTTGCTTCCATTGATTGGATTCTATTTTAATTTAATTTTTTAATTGTTTGTAATTTTTAAGGTGTATACAAAGCCCGGTTTGGATGTTAATTTGTCTGGTTCTCGGGAAACCGGGTTGTCTTCAACATTATTGAACATTTATTGGAGATGTACAATTATTTTATGTATCTATTATTCTATATTTCATCATGACTCGATTTTTAATAAAATTTATAAAATTTCAGGTGAAAAAACCAGTGAGAATCCGTAATAGCAAAATACATGTATTAATTTTGTACATATTCCTAATTCGTTTTAATGATTTAGGACCATTTTACCCCTCCTGCACCATCTATGATTTTGGACCATTTTACCCCTCCTCCCCCATTTGTATTGAAATGCTTATCTGTTGCCAAAGAAAATATGAATAAGAAAGAAACATATATTTTTTTTAAATATGATGCTATATTTGAAAGTATAATGCTTAAATAGTTAATTGTTTTACCTTTATTTAAAATACAGATGTGGTACATTGGTTTATAAAAGTACTTATATAACCGATTCATTCTTACTCTTCTCATCCAAACACAATAAGAAAATAAAAACAGAGGATTTACACCCCTGCCAAATTAATCAGACAAACAAAAAAAGTACATTTTTTTTATTAGTTCTTGATTTATCTTTAATAACCCATCATTTTATTACCATAATCAACAATGTTCCTTAAAAAGCAAAATATATGTATAACTTTTTTACAATTATAATAAATTCCTAAATGATTTTAATGATTTTGGACCATTTTACCCCTCTTGCATCATTTTTATTTTGGACCATTTTACTCCTCCCCCCATTTGTATTGAAATGTTTTCGTGTTGTTGTATCTTGTCTGATCCACACTTTCAATCATATTTTGAACCCATTAAAATGCTTAATAGATTAAGCACTTAACTTTCAATCATATTTTGTCTAGCTGTCCACCAGACTGGTATAACACTAGTTGGTGATTGATTCTAAAAATGTGGTGGACTACAACTAAATGTGTTACCCCAAACAACGAGGGCCGATCCAAGACAAGTTTAGGAGGTGCCTATGAACATGGCTCATCCTTCACCAGGAGCCCAATTTTTTAGCCTTATGTAGTAGTACATCCATTAGGTGGCCGATTTTCTGTTTAGGTTAGCTTCTCTCCTTTACCTAAAACCAAAACACGTTTTCTTATAAATCAAAGAGTATCAATACTGAAAGCGGGATCATGATTAAAATCGATTTTGATACTGCCTCGTTGTCAGTCGCACGCATGAAGACAAAGTAGTTGATGGTGGGAAACGATTCAATTCTTCGTAACGATCTCATAATCCCTAGGATATCTCCAAATTTAAAATATCGCATAC